TGCAAGGACCTCATTCAAGGTCCTTACAAGACAATGTATGTCCTTCTGCAGATCTGGCTCCACCTTCCCTTGTTGTATATGGACCAATAAATAGGGTCAGGTCTCAGCTTATGCCCAAAGCAAAAACAGTCTCTGATAGGAGATGAAGTCACCTTTTTGCTGAAAGAATTGAGGACCCAGCAAATATGTACTGGCAGGAACCAGGGCAACATGTGTGGGAGTGGATCTCCAGGGTGTTGGATCAGAGAAGAAATGGAATATAAAGTTAGCTAGGAGTTTATTGATGCAGGACACTTTCCCAAGTCTTGAGATTTTCAGCAACATTAAGAAAAATGGTCTTAAAGGTGGGCCAGTATATTTGCTTAGTCCATACACTCTCTACCTCTGGCCTGACTAGAAATTTATAACCCCAAATTTTCTCTATTCTTTTTTTTCCTTTCAGTTGTGTTCAAGTTTATGATGTGCTTCTGGAAAGCTTTAGAAGAAACCTAGGCACTTCAAATAATGTCTCATCAAGAATCTTATGGGATCATCAACCACTTCAACCACTTGCGTTTCCTTTTCTTTCTTTTTTTTTTTTTCTTTTTCTTTTGAGACAGAGTCTCACTCTTCACCCAGGCTGGAGTGACATGGTGCAGTCTGGGCTCACTACAACCTCTGCCTCTCGGGCTCAAGCAATCCTCCTACCTCGGCCTCTTAAGTGGTTGAGATCAAAGGCATACACCACCATACCCTGCTAATTTTTTGTATGCTTGTAGAGACAGGGTTTTGCCATGTTGCCCAGGCTGGTCTCCAACTCCTGGGCTCAAGGGATCTGCCCAACTTGACTTCCCAAAGTGCTCGGATTACATGCGTGAGCCACCTTGCCTGGCCTGCATTTCTTTATGGTAATATTGCTAATAAAGTAGTTCTATGCCATGGGAAAATAAAATCATCAACCTGTACCCATTTTATGTTAATATTTTATTCTTCCTTAGTCAGATTGACAGATCCGTTTCAACCTTATTGTGGTTAATTTTATATCTTGACTAGCTGTGGAGTGTCCAGATTAAGCATTATTTCCAGGTGTCTCTGTGAGGGTGTTTCTGGACGAGATTGGCGTTTGAATTGGTGGACTCAGTAAAGTAGATTGCCCTCCCACTGTGGCTGGGCATCATCAAATCTATTGAGAGCCTGAATAGAACAAAAGACAGAGGAAGGAGAAATTCTCCCTTTTTGCTTCTAGTCTGCCTGCTTGAGCTAGGACATTTTCTCTTGTCTTTTTAGGTCCTCTCACTAGAATTTACACTATCAGCTCCACTGGTTCTCAGGCCTTTGGACTCTGATTGATTTACATTACTGGCTTTCCTGTGTCTCCAGCTTGCAGATGGCAGATCATGGGATTTCTCAGCCTCCGTAATCATACGAGCCAACTCTTTATCATAAATCTTATCTCTCCCCATGCTGCCCACTGACTCTGTTTCTCTGGAGAATCCTGACTAATACAAACCCTAAAATTCTGCTATCTAATTATAACATTATAAATATAACATTATACATTACATTTCATGTATCACAATTTATTATAATTTACAAGTTGGATTTATATATGCCTTTGGCCATCTCACATTGGCTCCAAAAATAAGGAAATGCATGTCTGTCATAACAAATGTCTATAGCTGAGGTGGCTGCAGGTGAATTACAATCATCAAGAACAAAGTCGTAAAAGAACCAGGTTATTTCCTTTCTTTGCTTTATCCTCCTCAGTGTTTTCTCTTTGCCCTCAGATTGTTTGTCTTCCTTCATTGTTGCAAGAGGTCTGAAGAAGTTCCCGAATTTAGATCTAGACTCAGTATATCTGGGGTAAGTGAGTTAGATCTAGACTCAGTATACCTGGGGAAAGTGAGAGAGAGAGGGGGAAAAGCACAACTCCTTAATGTCTCCTTATCAAGAGCTAGAAAAATCATTGTTGGAATCCCCTCCAAAAGACTGCTGCTCTCATATGGGTTACTCACCCAAACCAAAACAATAAACAGCCTAGAAACTAGGACAATCACTACCAACACTCATTATAATTTATCCCAAGCTGTGGGTAAGATTATCTTTCCTGTGGTCTTGTGGTAACTGAACAAAGGCAGGATTTTGTTAGTGAGGAAGACCGGGAAATTAATGATATATATCAGTTGTATCAGCCATCTGATCTTCAACAAAGCTAACACAAATAAGCAATGGGCAAAGGTCTCCCCATTCAATAAATGGTGTTGGGATAGATGGCAAGCCATATGCAGAAGAATGAAACTGGACCCCTACCTTCCACCATGTACAAAAATTAACTCAAGATGGAGTAAAGATTTAAATGTGAGACCTCAAACTATACGAATCCTAGAAGAAAACCTAGGAAACACTATTCTGGACATTGGCCTTTGGAAAGAATTTATGACTAAGTCCTCAAAAACAATTTCAACAAAAACAAAAATTGACAAATGAGACTTCATTAAATGAAAGAGTTTCTGTATGGTAAAAGAAACTATCAACAGAGTAAAGAGACAACCTACAGATTGGGTAAAAATATTCACAAACTATGTATCCAACAAAGCCCTAATAGCCAGAAACTATATTGCTTAAGAGAATTTAAGCAACTGAACAATCAAAAAAACAAAAACAACAACAACAACAAAAAACCAAATAACTCCATTAAAAAGTTGGCAAAATACATGAACAGACACTTCTCAAAAGAAGGCATATAAACAGCCACCAAACATATGAAAAATAGTCCACATTACTAATCATCAGAGAAATGAAAATCAAAACCACAAGGAGATACCATCTCACACCATTCAGAATGGCTATTTTTTTAAAGTCAAAAAAACAGATGCTGGAGAGGCTGCAAAGAAAAGGGAACTCTTATACACTGTCGATGGGAATGTAAATGAGTTCAAGCCACTGTGGAAAGCAGTTTGGAGATTTCTCAAAGCACTTAAAACAGAACTACCCAGTAATCCCATTGCTGGGTATATACCCAAAGAAAAATAGATCATGCTTCCAAAAAGATGCCTGCACTCACACATTCATTGTAGGGCTGTTCACAATAGTGAAGACGTGGAACCAACCTAGGTGCCCATCAACAGGATGTTGGATAAAGAAAATGTGACACTTATACACCATGAAGTACTATGCAAACAGAAAATGAAATGATTTCCTTTGCAGCAATGAGAATGCAGCTGATGGCGATTATCCTAAGTGAATTAACACAGGAACAGAAAAACAAATACTGCATGTTCTCACTTACAAGTGGCAGTTACATATGGAGAACTCATGGACATAAAAATGGGAACAACAGACACTGGGGACTCCTGTAGGGGGTGGAAGAGAGGGAGGCAAGGGTTGAAAAACTAACTCTTGGGTAGTATGCTCAGTATCTGAGTGACGGGGTAATCATATCCCAAACCTCAGCATCACGCACTATACTCAGGTAACAAATCTACGCATGTACCTCCTGAATCCAAAATAAAAGTTGAAATAATTTTTTAAAAATCAGCTGTATCTGCTCTTCACAACTTTTAGTGCAGAGGCTGAGAGCAGGTAATGAAGGTATTATCCAGGCAACATTCAGCGCAACCAGCCATGTTCATGCTAGGTGCTCCATAGCAATGTGATCTAGAAGCTGCTGTCCATCATTCTGAGTATGGCTGCAGAAACAGAGAGCAGTTGGTACTTCACTTCTGCTATTGCAACAAAAGAGACCAGAGTCTTGTGATCTAAACTCAACATTTGAAGGCAACCTGAGAATACTCCTAAAAAGAGGATAATAAACAACAGCAGATCAAGCAGCTTTGTTTTGTGCTCTTGGCCACAGCAAATGTGTTTGGTATATCACTGGCAGCTGCAACGCTCACCATCAGTCCTACATAGTATTAAAGAAAGATGTTTCTAAATATCTCTGCACAGCCAGTTTCCATAGCCTTGCATCCATGCCAAATACTTAATATGAGCCAAGGTCTTTTAGAGTTGACAATTCATATGTAGACTTTGGTATACTTTGCTTTATGTTTGCCAGATATGTCTGAAACATATGTTGTATCAATCGAAATATATTTTAAATTGATAATTGGGCTACTTCTTGAAGCAAAATTATAGGGAAAACTGGTAAATGAAGAAAATCCTAGCTGAAGTAAATAATCCCTTCTTCCTTTGTGTAAATTTAGATTTATGCATGCTGAGTTTTATATTCAGTTAGACTGAATTTAACTGTTCTCTGTAGTTTCAAATATCTATCTTAATGATTGTCACATCATATATGGGAATGATAAAATAATTTTACATGTAGAAACACTTTTTATCTGAAAAAGGATTAAATCCTATAAGATGAAAATACACAAAAGTGTTTGAAAGTTAAATTTTAAAATGTAAAGTACAAAAATCATCAAACCCATTTAGTGGATCTACATTTCCACAATCGACCTTCATAAAAAATTATACTTTCATCACTTATCCTATTCATGAAACAAAACTATCAAAAATTGAATATATAAAAACCTTTGCACATGCGTTTTGTATTCCTTCTGCTTACTGTTTTTAAGTTACTTAGTTCAGCCAGATTCAAAGACGTGTTTGTTCAGTGTAAAGAATCACACTCCCATAGATTGCAACAACCTTAAACCAACCTTTGCTATAAGGAGAATTAGCTTTGTCATTGCTCTAGTTTTACTGTGCTCCTATAGACTGTGGGTGTTCACATTAGCTATGTGTGCATTAGATTGGATGGATTAACAAACTTAACTGACCTCCACAATTCTGATTTTGTTTTGTTGTTTATATGTATGCTTGGTGGTAGGTTTTTGGGTTGGTGGGTTGGTGGGTTGGTGGGTTGGTTGGTTGGTTCGTTGGTTGCTTTGAAGATGGAAACACCCAACAAAACCATAGTACAATATTCCATGAAATAACACAAAAGCCATTTGTATCTTTTGGAATTTGGTGCACTCCATATTATAGAAAAAGAAAAATAAATAGATAAACAAGGCTTAAACAAAATAGAGTTTTATTTTTCTCATAGGCAAAGTGAATCTGGAGGATGCAGTCAAGACCATGGAAGTTCCAGGATCCTCAGGCTCATGCTCTTTCTTTATCTCTGTTCCACCTCTGAGCCTGTGGCTGCTGTCATCAAGTAAACTCGTAGTCCAAGTCAGCTGCCAAAAGTTCTGTCGCTTTGTTCACCATCCAGGAAGCAGTTGAGTCAGCTTCCCCTAGCATTATTCCCAGAAAGTCAACACAATGCATTTATTAACACGTTATTAACCAGAACTACTAGAAAATGAAATATTTTAGATGGGTACATTACATCCCCAAATAAAATTTAGATTCTCCCACTAAGGATGAAATCAAAGATGTATAGGCATTTGCTGACTGGCCTTTTTCACATACTTCCGGAGCAAAGAGGACAAATGAAGAGGAAGAGGAGGAAGAAGAAGAGAAAGGAGAAAACAAGTTTTAAATGCATTTTTTAAAAGTATCTGGAGGTAAAGAAGTGGCTTATTTGCTGCAGAGACAGTAAATGGGTTATCATTCCTGTCAAAATTCAGCTGTCTGCTTAAACAGATCTCAGATTTTGACTGACATCTCCCAAATGCTCAAATCCGAGGCATATCACAACTGCCTTTCTAACAAGCCAAAACCTTATTTTCCACATTTTTGCTTAGGTTTACCAACTGCATCCATTATCATAATAAATAAAACACAGAGGTGATAGTTCAATTATCAGATGTAATAAGGCCAAAGAGGGTAGCTTGTAATCACATTAGGAAGTTCATTTTTGACAGTTTATAACATCCCAAACTGAAGTACTTCCCGATCGCAACTAGTTTTCTAACTTAAACCAGATTTTTCTCAATAAATAGTAGAGAAAATAAAAATATTAATATCATGAGAGAATTAAACTTTGGTTATAGCAAAGGTTTCCTGTCAGTTCTCATAAACATCCAAAAAGAAAAGCAAAACTAAGCCAATCTCTAGTTTTCTAAACACTGTTCAGAAGTGCTTTAAATGGATCTCTTGGGAATAAGTGCTCATGTATAATTGTTTTAATGTATGTACATTTTATTTTTTAAAAATCAGAGCAATTAACCTAGTTGGGGCAGATGTCATAGCAATAATTACCGGAATATATTTAGAAAAAGGTGACACAAGTGTAGTTCCATAGTCTTTTATCAGACATGAAGGCTTACTTCTGTCAGCAGTGTTAAAATTACTTGTACATTTTCTATTTTGAGCTCAATTCAGGTGGCTTGAGGGAGGTGGAGAGGAGAGACAAGAAAATAAAAAAATTAAACATTGACCAAGTACCACTATGTACCAGATACCATATTAATTGTTCTGTGTGTATTTTCATATTTATCTGCCATAATTAATTTATGAACATGTTTTTAGTCCCATTTTATTGGCAGGAAAAGAAGTACAGGCAGAATAAGGTCTTTCTTAACACGTTTACTGGGTGGACAAGCAGCCTGTGTTGCCCCAGTCTAAAGGGACAGCACACCTAACATGTTTGTTCAGGTTGTTACATCCTCAGAAGTTATGCATATATTTAAAAGCTTCTTAAAGACAAACAGGGTAGGGACTGCATGAGGGAAGAGGAAATACCCTTCCAAGTAAGGATTTAGGGACCAAATTTACTCCCTTCTGGAAAGTGAGGTATAAAACCGAACTTGGTAGCTTTGGAGCCAAGATAGTAAAAATGGACTCCCTTGCAGCTAAAAGGCAGGCTATATGAATTTTGGAGGCTTCCTGGAGTATGTTCTAAAAAATCACATTTCTTCATTCTGAAAAATAAATAAGCAGTTGACTGGAGCAGAACAAGAGATAACTCCTGCTAGATAAACTTTTTTAGGATAGTGGTGGTAGTACAGGGACTTTGGAAATTTGGACAGTGGTAGAAAGCGTGAAGTATAGTAAGAGTAGCACAAATGGCAACAGACAATTGGGTCCTGTGGAGAAAAGCAAGGAAAAAGCATTTTGTCACAGGGGTGAACTTGTGAGAAGCCATGGTGAATAGGCAGGACAACAGGGCATATCTTTTCTGGGTGTCACTGAAGCCTTTGATTCATTGTGTTTAAGAAAATAGAATCTCGGGATCCCAAACTCACCATGCCAAAGGGAAAGTTAAGCTTGGGAACTGAGTCATGCAAAAATTTGCCTGCCTTTTGTTCCCAAGCAGATAGCTGCAATTTCACCACGCTATGTCATAGCCTCATACTTAAGTTAGTTTACAGCAATGATAAAAGGTCATATATCTGCCCAGATAGCCTTGCTCACAAACTGCTCTCAAGTAAATTCCATGTGGGCCCCCAATTCTTTCAGAATATACATCTTCTCTGTAAGTAGCCCTAAAACAGAGTTCTGTTGAATCTCACCCTGACAATGTAAGTTACCAGTTTATCTTCATCAGTATGGAACAAGGACAAGATGAGGAATCAGCCTCTGCTCACCCCGAGACAAATGCATAATGTACTTCTTCCTCTACTCAGTCTTTATTTACATTTATCTTATGTAAAATGTAGAAATGCACTTCCTCCTCTACTCACTGTTTTCATGTTTATCTTATGTAAAATGTAGATTTATGAGCTCAAGACAAATGCCTAATTGACTTTTCTTCTACCCCTCTTTTCACACATAAAATGTAGATTCACTCAGCACTAATCAAAGAATATAAACACTTGCCTCATTGCCTACTCTCCCCACCCCATTTTTCTTCCTTTTTCTAAATCAGTGGAGACCTGCCTCAGACACTTCTTGGTTTACAAGTGTTAAGTAGACACACTTTAGAAGGAGTCTGAGGACTATGTCAATATTTATGACCCAGGAGGCACACAGGATGTGGAAGAGAAAGAAACTCATGAACCACTGCCAGAATGTCCCCACCCAGTGAAAGTATTTATGTGTGTTTTGTAACAAATTCCAGCCAAGCTGAAGTAAGGGGGCCTAGTTTAAGAAACACTACTTCATTAATGAGCACACATGCACACACACGCACACACACACACACACATATGCACATCACTTTCTATCATCTAAAACAATTTTACTCTCTAACTCTCATTATCCTACAAGTGAAAAGGAAGAATGAGGAAGTGAACAAATCACTGCTAAAGATAAAGCATCCCTCATCTCTAGTTTGTTCTTGACACCTGATAGGGCTGTTTATGAGGAGGTAGAAATAAGGAGAATGTGGACTAAAAATGATAAGGTCACTTTATTTGGAATATACAGCTTATTCTCATCACACCTTTTCAATTCTAAATCGTCAAGAAGACACTGTATTACTGAATGCACTTAGTTGGTTATTTTGCTATTTCCTTTTCCAAGCAATTTGAAATGATCACATCATTCTTCATTATCTCTCTGAAGAGTTCACATGTTTCCTGTCTATCCAGTTTTTATTTGATACAGGAAGCTCATAAATAATAGCTGAAATTTTACAGAAATATTTAATGGTAATTGTTTCTGTGACTATATATTCAACTAGTTTCTCTGTCTAAAATAGAAGATTAGGGCAGCAACACTGGTTTCTGCAGTTGGCTTACAATTTCACATAGGTGAATAACTAAATAAAAGGAAGCAGAGAAAAGTAAAATTGGTAGTAACATTTACTGAATGCTTTTTCTTCCCATTGTATTGGACCCAGCACATGCCATTCATAGAAGTGTAATACATGTTGCAGCCAAGTGCAGCAGAACTTTAAAGTTGAATGTTTTTTAATCCATAAGAATAAGTCCTTTCAATTTCCAGGGTAAGAAAACTAAACTTGATGTCTAATCAGTTTTCTTCATGGTACAGTAATCACTCTTATTGTCAATAGGAAGAATATTTACTCTCAGTAAATCATAAAACCTCAAACATGAACTGGGCGCGGTGATACATGCTTATAGTATAAGCTACTTGAGAGGCTGAGGCAGGATGATTACTTAAGCCCTGGAGTTAAAGGATGCAGTGAGCTATGATCACACTAGTGTACTTCAGCCTGGCCAATGGAGTGAGATCCCATCTCTAAGCAAATCAATTTTTTAAATTTTTAAAATAATAGATTAATAACAAAAAGACTCTCAAACATGATCTGGGAAAATGAACAGCATAACCATACTGTATGACAGCCAGCTCTGTCTTGGTACTGAGGTTCTTCAATCACAGCCACTTGTAGATCTATTGTTTGAAGCCACACAAACCCTGTTTTCATTTCCTTGTGACAAAGATGAATTGAGTGGCTGGTTTGGAAAATAGAAACCTTACGGTAGACTGAGAGGTTTTCTAGCCACATATGAATGACTAGAAAGTACCATGTATAATATTTCCACCAGCTAAATAGCTTCTTTCAAAGTGTTGTGGATAAAGTGGTCACAGAGTTCAGTTACCACAGAATTAGTGACATTGAACTTCAAATAAATCATGGTAAACAGACAAAAAAGCTTGCTAAAGAACGCAGGAAGAGGCAGGAGGTCCTGTATCACTCAAAGTCTGGAGTTATACACACACAGGTCCTAAGGCTAGCGTCTGTAGCTGAAAAAAAGGGAATTTGCTAGATATCCAATAGTTTGTCCTTTCTTACTGCCCTTAACACCAAACCCTATCCTTTGAGGTTAAGATTAGTTGTGGACTCTTGGAGAAACCCTGGAGATCTTGTTTATTTGTACACAATAACTGATGGCTCTCAGATTTTATGCTTCACAGTCCTGACCCTTGTAAGTGGGACATAACCAACTGATAGACTTTAAGTAATTTGAGAAGAAAACATGCTTCAAGGATTTGAAGCAATTCAAGAAGGAGACATCATTTGGTTACTAACAAATCAGCAGTTACTGCAGTATGTCTGGATCTGTGCTGACCATCAGCCTTGCCTTGGCAGGCTTTACATGCTCATATCTTCACAAGATTTTGGGCAGATGATGATCCATTGAATGTAGCATAATGCACCAGGTGCAACAAGACATAATTGGACTTCTAGGAAATCACAGAAGAGGAAACAACTATCTCTATACATAAGAGGGAGCAGGTACCTCTGCCTGAGTTTCAAGAAGCACTACATAGAAAAGGTCGCTTTTGAAATCTGAGTAGGAATTTGCCAAGTAGGGATTGGAGTGCACAGATAGAAAGGCATTCCAGAAGGACAAGTCAACATTTGCAGATAATTTGAAGTATGTTTGGGAAATGGCGAGTAATTCAATATGGCTACAACATAGCATTTATAAACAGGAAT